GTCAGTGGCCCTTGTTTGGTCCAAACATGTGACCCTGCTGGAATTAGACCACGCAGAGAGACTGCAAACAGAACACAAGAGCCACTCAGTTTCACAACCCCCACCATAAAACCCCTGTGGCGTGCCATAAAAACTAAGGGTGTGTGTGTGTGTGTGTGTGTGTGTGTGTGTGTTTTCTAGGCCTGACTCTGCTGATGGTTTCCTGTCCCCCAGTCGCTCCAGCAGCAGGAATGGAGAAAAGGACTGGGAAAATGGATCCACCACCTCTTCTGTTACATCAAATACAGAGTACACTGGTAGGTTAACTCAGTACACGTCTTAGTTTATAGACACATATTAAAAGTGGCAAATATTCACAACATACAGTTGTTAAATTAGATCTTTGTTCTATCCATTGGAGATTTGTTTTTAGTTTTTTTTTATTTTTTATCTTGATCTCATTGTCTGAAGCAGGGTTTCCTTTTGTACTGATTGCAGTTCAAAGTAGTGATATAAACAGTTGTTTCTGATTCAAATAGCTCACATTCCTCCGTCAGACTAACTGGTAACCCTACCCTTAGCTATCGTCATACACGATTCAGCAGCAGAAAGAGTAAAACCAAGCAAACAAGTCTTTCCTTTGACATCACTGGAGTGGTTGCTATGGCAACAGTCCCATCCTGATCTCCCTGCCTCCGTCTTTCTTTCAGGACCGAGGCTGTACAAGGAGCCCAGCGCCAAATCTAACAAGCACATCATCCAAAATGCTCTGGCACACTGCTGCCTTGCAGGGAAGGTCAACGAGGGGCAAAAGAACAAGATTTTGGAGGTACATGTCCTTCATAACTATACTTACAGTTGCACTAAAACCTTTGACTCTCTTTGAGGTGTATGTTTAGTGTACATTTTCATATAAAATGGTCTTTAAATTCAGAGTTTTTGTAGATTTGCCTCTGTACACCATCACAGTGGATTTGAAACAATCAAGATGTGATTGAAGTGCAAACCTTTTGAAGACTATCCCACTTCTTTGCCTTGAGTAACTCTTGGCTTGCCTTTGCAGTATGTTTCATTATCCATTCGCACTGTAAGGCACTATCTGATTAGTTATGCAGCATTTGGCATAATCTCTGCAGAGATCATAGCCACTTCACAATTCATGTATCATGAGTGTTTTGTAAGCTGTATATCCTGTTGATATTTTAAGTCACAGATTTATAAATAGGAAAAAATATCTACATAGCACATCAAGTGTCCTTAAGCATATGTCACCTGCTTATCTAACCACATTTACTCCCCTGATCTTGACAGGAAATGGAGAAATCAGAAGCCAACAACTTCTTGGTTTTGTTCCGAGATGCTGGATGCCAGTTTCGCGCTCTCTACACTTATTGCCCCGAGACCGAAGAGCTCAACAAGCTGACGGGCATCGGCCCCAAGAGCATCACACGCAAGATGATCGATGGCCTCTACAAGTACAACTCAGACAAGAAGCAGTTCAGCCAGATACCAGCTAAGACCATGTCAGCCAGCGTGGACGCAGTGACAATCCACAACCACCTCTGGCAAACCAAGAAGCCAGCCACCCCTAAAAAAGTAGTGCCTGCCCAGTCCTAATGGGACTTGATACCCCGAACATTTCATTTTCCTTCTTTGAACATAACCAGTCTTGGTTAGCACTTCACTGTACATATCCATGAAGATTCAAACACCTGCAATGCCAGTTAGATGAATGCGTATTTATCTTTTGTTTTGTTTGTTCTCCTCATTGCATTCCCGTCCTTTATCCTTCATATTCGGACCAGAAGTGATAAGACTTTAAAGATCACGAACAGCTGGAATGTACGACACTGTCGAGGAATGATGTAAACGTAATCATGTCTGTGTTTGAAAAAGAGATTTGAGACATTGTGTGAGAGCACGTGTGACTGATGTTATGTGCCAAACATTAAAAGAAAAAAAAAAGGAGACAGTATGAATGCCGGGACATTTTACTCCGTACACTGAAGCTCTGAATGTTTTCAATTCATGTATAGATTGACTTTTGTTCGCTCTACCCTGTTGAAGTGTGGCCTTACGCACGTTTGTTTTAGTGTAAGAGTGAGTGTAAAGCGACAACCTCTTTTGTATTTGGAAGAAACCTCTTTTTTCTTTTCTCACCTGTGTGAGTAAAAGTTTGTACATTAAAGTACGTAAACTCCAAAGGGCCAAAAAAAACTGATTGCATACAGCTAGCGTTAGCCACACAGGATACGTGTGTTCAGCTCAACAAAGCAAAGCGGTTCCAGCTTTTTCAGAACCCCTGTTTTTGAGGAAGTGATTTTAATGAATGCAGGACGTTACTGTAGATCACTGGTTCTCAACCTGTAGGTCAGGACACGTGCAGACAGTTTGTGCTGTACAATGTCAGTTTTCTGGTTTATTTGCATTGCTTCAGCCCAAAAGATCGGGAACCAGTGTTGTAGATCACCTCGCTGCTGGTTCACAGCAGGTTTGTGAACAAATGAAACTCCTCAGTATTATTTATTTTTTATTATGAAATGCTGCCGACTACAACTTGCAGGGTTCTTTGCAGTGTACTAAGATATTGTACAATCACACTCCTGGCCACTGGGATCAGGACTGATATCCAGGCTATAATGACACCTACAAAGTATTTCTCTTTATGTAACGATGAAATATTAACATTAAATTCAAGATGCACACTCAGACTCTTTATTATCATATCTGCACCCAGCTATAAGCCACTTTTGGCCCACCAAAATTAAGTAAGAATAGCTAGAATATAGCACATGTTAGATTTCTCATAGTTGCAAAAGATATGTTCTGTTATTTACAAGGTAAGTGATGCATCAAAATAAGTAGCTTCTCCCAGTTTATTAAAAAGGCCACATTATGAAGTGTTTGTGTCATTTTCAACATGTCTATGCGTCTTTTTCACCACAGAAACGGGTTCAACCTGAACAACTAAAACGTGTGTGTCCATCATCTAAATGCAGCACGTTGTGAATTTATAGTAACATTGTTATTTTGCTAGATTTATTTTTTTCTATTAACACTAGGATGAGATTCACACAATAATGCAAGGCAGAATAGGGCAGGTAGATCCTTGTTGCTGCATACGGGTAGAGTCTCGCCATTTGGTTTAACCGGCGTCAGCGTTGTGTTACTTTTGCCACTGAATGTCAAATCCAACACCATTTGCAGGTATGATTTCCCCCCCAAAAATAAATCTGCCAACGTGGTGCTTTGTTTTTAACTGGGGCGTGGGACGGGTGGGGGGTATTTATGACCAAAAGAGACATGTACGTGTTTTTGAAATTGTAATCTAGTACGACTGGGGGAAGAAGTGTTTCAATGTTCTTTACTGGAAGGATGTGTCAGCAGAAAGCTCGGTCTGCCTGCATTTGGCTGTTTTAAGGCCAAGGTTAAAAAGAAGATTATTATTTAAACTGTAATGATATTGTGCAGTGTGTTCATGTGAGCAACTTATTCACTATGATGACTTTGTTTTTGTTTCGTCAGACGCTGTGCCCTCATTCAACATGTGGCTGAACATGTAGTGTCATTTTTCTTTTTCATTTTGCATTAAATAAAATAAAGCATGACATCAGCATGTCTGTGGTGTTGATTGCAAATGAGGGTATTTTTAAAAGGATATGCAAAGAGGGGGTTGTTAATAGAAGCAAACTCTTTTCATGGAAGGATAATATTTAACCATGAAACAGTTTTGAAAATATTAGTCGAAGGGTTCTTTCTTTTTTATATATATATTTCTAAGATATGGCACTGGACTATTGGTGTTTTAGAAAGGTTTCAAAGCCCAACCTGGTTAATTAGGGTCATTCCATCTGAAATCATCATGGGCCATTTGCATAAAATGTTATGGTCCAAATTCTTTGGTTTGTGTTTTCACACTTTGAAATCTGAGGCAATGTTGGAACATGAATATTTCCAAACCTATTAAAGATAAAAGACTGAAATGTTCACTGGTCTTCCCTAACATAAACATGAATGTCTGTATTTTTGAACAAATACATTAAAAAAAAATGGCTCCGTATTTGAGCTGACATAAATACCAAACGTTTCCATTGCAAAACAGAACTGGTGACACTTTTGGAATGCTATAGTTGCATTTCACAGAAATGCAAAGTGAAACATGAAAAATACTTTTTAACAGAAAAATGAAGAATTCACGCTGTATTGAACAAATAGTCTAAATTGTGCCACGTAAACACAAATGGATCAATAGGTAGTCTAGTCCAGATTTGAAATCATAACATTTTCAAGAGGTGGTTCATCAGAAAATGTTCTACAATTATAATTAGATGGAGTACCTTAGATAACGGCAAAGTTAATGTGTTTAGATTAACTTGTTTCCAGTGAAAGCTATATATTTAGCTAAAGTAACAAGGCTGGATTTCTAGGGACCAACTTTATCTGACCCCGAGTACCTCGGGCCAAAGGCTCCACTGTAAATGGGAGCATAAAATAATTTTAACTTAGTTTATGAATCAGTCCAGTGTCGCTACTAAGGCTGTTAATAACACTGTGATTATTTGACTAAAAAGAATACACATTGTTGTTTTGCTTAACAAATTATTTTAGCCATGGCCAATAAAATGTAGTTAACTACAGTAATGAAAATTTGCCATTAAACAAGGGAACTCAAAGAGTAATTTTAAAAGGGTTCAGCCACTTTTTTCATCATTTTGAGTGAATATATATATAAACCATTTTCTATATTCTAATTAGATGCCCAACTTTCTGATAAAAAAAAATGTATTAGCTTGACAGCAATTTAAAAACTCGTCTTAGAGATGTTCAAAGAAAATAGCATTTTTATTGTCTTTCTTTGTTATTTATCTTATTTCTTAAAATAAAATACAATAAATCCTATCCTTTTTTATCTCCCTGAATTTCCTTTGAAAGTTGTCGCGTCCGTGCTGTAGGTGTGACCGCTGGGCGTCGTTGCTACAGTTGATTGGTGGTTTGCGGCTACGTCCGCATGGCAACCGCGAGCTGTGTACAAGAAACGAGGCAGGAGAAAGGAGCTTTCTGGCAACGCAGTAAAGCCTTTCAGCAGTCAAATACATCCCTGCCGTCTTCTTCGTGGACGTCGCTACATCTGGAGACCGCGGGCTTTAATGCGGCGGGCTGTAGGCGCAGACTGACTGACAGGTGAGATGCTGGCACTGTTTCAAGGCGGTGTTTAGCACTGCGCTGTAGTCTAGCACGGTGTGTCCCCAGTAAGGGAGACAATGATTGGCATGCTTATCATTTTTTGCCCTGCATTTGTGTCCAGTGGTGTTAATAGTCGTCACTGGCTGCCGTGCTCGAATAAACAAGGTGTGTCCGAGGACAGATAAAGTGCTGAGGCTGTCAGGTTTGGGCCGCAGACCTGCTCTCACATCCCGGCCCGGAGCTGGGTGGATGTTCTGTCTGTGTATGGAGGGAACAGGGCGGCGTCATAAGCTGCTCTCCCAGCCTCTCTATGCGCTTCCTTAAACATACAGGGCGAGTGCACCATACATAATGAAGACCCCTCCATGTCTTTGCTGTAGCTGCCTGGGTGATGTTGCAGTGACTAACCATTTAAAGACCCAACCTTGGAACTGCATCTTTGATATGTTCCAGTATTTAAACTATGAGCCATTTAGGGACATTATGCATATGTGCAGAAACACCACAGATGCCCTTTGAAGCATAAAGCAAGCCTCCAGCAAAAGGGACATCACAGAAAAATACAGTTTAGTGACCGAGTTTAAAAGTACAAAGGAGTACTACGAACTTACTCGAACCATCATAATAGACTAGAGTAAGAATTGAATTAAAGTGCAAAAATTAGCATTTTGCAAAATTAGACACCAGAATCATCAATGGGAAGGTTAACATTCTTTAGGCGTTAAGAAAGAAAACACCTAATAACCTCGAACAGTACAGGGAGTGCAGAATTATTAGGCAAATGAGTATTTTGTCCACATCATCCTCTTCATGCATGTTGTCTTACTCCAAGCTGTATAGGCTCGAAAGCCTACTACCAATTAAGCATATTAGGTGATGTGCATCTCTGTAATGAGAAGGGGTGTGGTCTAATGACATCAACACCCTATATCAGGTGTGCATAATTATTAGGCAACGTCCTTTCCTTTGGCAAAATGGGTCAAAAGAAGGACTTGACAGGCTCAGAAAAGTCAAAAATAGTGAGATATCTTGCAGAGGGATGCAGCAGTCTCAAAATTGCAAAGCTTCTGAAGCGTGATCATCGAACAATCAAGCGTTTCATTCAAAATAGTCAACAGGGTCGCAAGAAGCGTGTGGAAAAACCAAGGCGCAAAATAACTGCCCATGAACTGAGAAAAGTCAAGCGTGCAGCTGCCAAGATGCCACTTGCCACCAGTTTGGCCATATTTCAGAGCTGCAACATCACTGGAGTGCCCAAAAGCACAAGGTGTGCAATACTCAGAGACATGGCCAAGGTAAGAAAGGCTGAAAGACGACCACCACTGAACAAGACACACAAGCTGAAACGTCAAGACTGGGCCAAGAAATATCTCAAGACTGATTTTTCTAAGGTTTTATGGACTGATGAAATGAGAGTGAGTCTTGATGGGCCAGATGGATGGGCCCGTGGCTGGATTGGTAAAGGGCAGAGAGCTCCAGTCCGACTCAGACGCCAGCAAGGTGGAGGTGGAGTACTGGTTTGGGCTGGTATCATCAAAGATGAGCTTGTGGGGCCTTTTCGGGTTGAGGATGGAGTCAAGCTCAACTCCCAGTCCTACTGCCAGTTTCTGGAAGACACCTTCTTCAAGCAGTGGTACAGGAAGAAGTCTGCATCCTTCAAGAAAAACATGATTTTCATGCAGGACAATGCTCCATCACACGCGTCCAAGTACTCCACAGCGTGGCTGGCAAGAAAGGGTATAAAAGAAGAAAAACTAATGACATGGCCTCCTTGTTCACCTGATCTGAACCCCATTGAGAACCTGTGGTCCATCATCAAATGTGAGATTTACAAGGAGGGAAAACAGTACACCTCTCTGAACAGTGTCTGGGAGGCTGTGGTTGCTGCTGCACGCAATGTTGATGGTGAACAGATCAAAACACTGACAGAATCCATGGATGGCAGGCTTTTGAGTGTCCTTGCAAAGAAAGGTGGCTATATTGGTCGCTGATTTGTTTTTGTTTTGTTTTTGAATGTCAGAAATGTATATTTGTGAATGTGGAGATGTTATATTGGTTTCACTGGTAAAAATAAATAATTGAAATGGGTATATATTTGTTTTTTGTTAAGTTGCCTAATAATTATGCACAGTAATAGTCACCTGCACACACAGATATCCCCCTAAAATAGCTAAAACTAAAAACAAACTAAAAACTACTTCCAAAAACATTCAGCTTTGATATTAATGAGTTTTTTGGGTTCATTGAGAACATGGTTGTTGTTCAATAATAAAATTATTCCTCAAAAATACAACTTGCCTAATAATTCTGCACTCCCTGTATACTGATCTGGAAATTGGAGTGACACAAGGGAAAAGCATGTAGCATTATCTGTTAACCATAGTACAGACAGTGTGATGAGTCTCACAGAGTCCAGTGATATGAGAGAGGACGTAAGCAGAGAGATGAATTCTGAAGTGTAGATAAGTTGCAATGTAGGGACAGTTTCATTGTGCTGACGGACAGTGGCCTAAATTATACTGGAAAAGCTCCCAACAAGTTTTTGGAGGTAGAGAAGTAGAATATTCTGCAGTGGCCAGTTTAACCAGCTGGTCTGTATTCTGTCAAGTATGAATTTCACTTGGTGTAAGCAAACCCAAAGGGAGAAAGACACATGAACAAACAACGGCTGATTAGAGCTGCAGTAAAGCTTGGAAAAATAGAAATAATTAAAAACATGGTTTATGATTAAGTGATTGTTTTCCAGTTACATTTTCAATTGGATCTAAAAAAAATGTGTTTCAAAGCTGTTGTGTTGGTGTATAGATCGAGAATTATAAAAACTGGAATTCACCTCCGTTTTTGTTTGTCATGTATTTTTTGCAAACAGTTGTGAAAAATTTGGGAATGCATAAACCAAAATGTCAAATATAAGGGTCAAAGGTTAGATTGGCTTTGGAAAATGTGAAAGATGGAATACATTTTGGACTTCTAACTGTATTTTTATATGTTTTACAGCTTTTCTCACAGAAAAAGAACTCCTCCTTAGCCAATTACACTACAGCAAAGCAAATAAAGTAATAAGTTAACACTTGAATAAAGAAATGTCTTTCTTTAAATGGATCTACAGGAAAAAAAGACATTTTCTATGAATAAACAAAAACTTTGTTTTATAATTAGAGGACAGTTTGGGTTATGAGCTGTTAGATTTGTATTGTTGATTGTCATTTATGCTTAGAAATATTTACTTATATATGCTTAGAGTTTTGTAATTAGTTGTAGATTGGTAGAGGTTTTGATCCTTGATAGTCTGCAAACTTTGTGTGTATTAGACAGCACTTTGGGAGCATGAGAGGTCATACCGTGTCTTATTGTTTTATGGTAGGATTAACGTAGTTGCGTCTGTTCTAGTCTAAGTGCTCTTTGTTTAGATGAACTGCAGGACTTCCTC